ATGAAGGCCTTATACCGATATCGAAGATGATGACGATTATGGGAAAGAAAAGTGGTCCAGAAGCGCATGCATTTGCTATCAGACGAGACAACACTCGGATTGACCGCTCCGAGATACGAGTATTCAGCGCATCAAAGGAGGCCAGAACTGCTCGAATAGAAAACAGCGACGCCGAAAATAGTTTTTTCGAAGTCAAGGAAGGTCCGAGGTATGCAGCAGGAATAGCAGAGTGAATAAACATAAATTAAAAATATAATCTTATGACTAAAACGGCAAAAAATTTTACTTGAAACTTTAAACGCGTTTTTCTCATAACTGTTTTTAATCTGATACCCACGATTTCTCAGGTTCTGCCAAACTGATTTTCTTGAAATTTTAAGAGTCTTCTTTAGGGACTTGTTTATGTCCGGAATTACTGCCATTCCCAAATTTTCACTTTTACTATTTTTAAAAAAATCGAAGAATGTTCAAAAAAGTGGTACAAAAGTGGTTTATTTTTAAACAGTCCCCATTTTGTAAAAATTATTTCTGTAACTTTTCCGTAGTTTCAGACATAGCAGCATTATTATAAATTAATAATCTTTTTTATTTTTTGATTTCAGATTGCTTGAAGATTTAAAATCGTGGGTATTGTCATGCACCATATTTTTGGTGCGCCCCACTCCATCAGCTGATAACTAACGGAGTTTAAAATTGTTTATTTTTTTATTTTTTTGCATGCTTCTAAGGTGAATAAATAATGTATAAATAATTGATTGTAAAAATATAGCTGTCTTTTTTACAGCACTTTAAAAATGACCTAAAATTCATGTCTCTAGACCAGAATACCCCCTTAATTAATGGGTGTTTACATATTGAATCTAACTAAGCGATTATTTGTAATATCATTATTTATCTTTAGCCACTGTGATCATTTAAATAAATTCTAATAGCATCCAAGTCTTAGGTAATTATAAGCAATGTGTATTTTTTCATTAATGAACTCAACGTGCTTATTGCTGTTTTTTACGAAATTGCTATATATATTCATAAATAATGAAATAATTATTTAGTGGAAAGCAATAACTTTACACAAGGGCTAGTAATATGTGAAGCATTTACAGATACAAATGGAAAAGAACTTTTATGGATAGGATGCATTAAAATCGATGAACTCACTTGTTTCTAAACTTGCAATACATAAAAAACGTAAACTGAGAGAGTTAATGGTCAAATGCGTTCGATTTAACCAACTTTTGACATAGACTTAATTTTTTGCAATTGTATGCAATTTCTTAAACCCATATTTATCTATATTTATATATATGGGATGTGCGATAGGCTTACCTCTGTGTGGTACACCCTGGGCAACGTATATTCATACGGCAAAAATATTCTATTGACTGGCAGTTGACTTCTCACTTCAAACTACCATCACCTCACTCAATGCCATATTCGACTACTTCCACAGTACTCACCTCACCTTTTTTCTCCCTTTGTGTTTGTCTCTTACATCTTTGAAACACTCCTCTGTTCACCCCCTCTCTCGACTTTTTTTCACTTTAATGTTCCTTCCCCTCTGTGAAGCCTGAAGTCAACTAAAGGGCTAATGATAACCATCAAGTCGCCTGCCATTTGATATAAATAAATAAATATTAAGGCATGTGTCTGGACTGATAACGAAATTTAATTTGAAAATACTTTGTTAAGTCAGTTGAACTTCGATTTTTATTATTTGTTCTACCTTACCAAATACTCGTTTACTGTAAATATATACATAAGAAAGTATCAATAAACAGGGAAATGTAAAATTAATTTTTCTTTTTTCATTTGGTTTATTGTATGTGCAATCAGAATATAGATTAACACCAGACAAATGAGAAATTATTTCTCTTAAAACGGAGTAAATTACTTAATTCTAATTCTTTTTTTTGTGTAGTTAATTACTTATAATTTAAATAAATTATGTATCTTGGAAGACGCCTCGTATTCTTCCAGGTGGATCTCTTATTTCATTCATGAGGCGAGAAGATGCCTTCGTATGAAAAATGTTGTAAAGAATTTTCATTGGGCAACACTAGTGGAGATAAATTTTATTTTTTATTCATTTTTTCTTCCAGCCATTGCATTACCCTTCTGATCATTAATTATTTTGCTTCGCATTTCCAGGTCATGATTTATTGTCGAAATCTCACAATAAAAAACGACACTGTAAATGCAATCAAATTCTTTTTTTTCCAATATGAGCACTGATTTAAGTTTATGCAAAGAAGCAAACTTTTTCTGGAATAATATCAAACCCAACATTTGTTGAGGTAAAATTGTTTCTTTATTTAATTACAATTCCCTTTTTATTTATGGGATTTATCTGATCAACTCAAAATGGTCTTTCCAAAACTGAAGAAACTTTGTCTGCTCAATGTGATTGGATTTTTAAGCAACCATTTAAAAAATAGGGATAACATTAGATAAGAAAAGTTTGAATTTAACAAAGTTGCCCTATTCACTCATTTAATCATGAGCGACAGATCAGTAGGAACAAAGCCCAACGTAGATTTCGACCAGTTTGGGGAGCATTTAACTAATGGTAAGATAACTTAAATCTGCTAACAGATATGAAATGGCCAGCTAGTTTTTTGTCATCTTATTCTCACAACTGATTTTATGTGTTTTAAATTCAATTTTTTAGAAAATTATTTACAGAATGAAAAGAGAAATAAAATTGAAAACGAGAATGGGAAACTCTGCAACTGCGGACCTTTATATTTTCCAGAACCCGCCTCTGCAAACTCTACACCACGAATTTGTTTTACTACTCACCAATTAACAGAATTGGAGAAGGAATTCCATTTCACTCCCTATCTCAATCCGAAACGTCGCTTAGAAATCGCAGCAGAGTTAGGAATCTCGGAAACACAAGTAAAAATTTGGTTTCAAAATCGTCGTATGAAAATGAAGCGTCAGAAATGTAACAGGCGCCAATAATGTCCACTTTTTTTCATTCTTTCCTCATGTAAATTCTTCCGTCATGCGTGTCTTGTCCGGAATAAATGCTTCATTTTTATTGGCTTTTCTGTAACATCCCCATTTTTGTAAATTTGTTTCAATACCTATTCCATACACAGATAGGTAAACTATTTATTTATTATTTATTCAAATGGCAGGCGTTTTGATAGCTATTATTAGCCATTTAGCTGACTTCGGGCTTCATAGAGGGAAGGCCATATAGCTGACTTCGGGCTTCACAGAGGGAAGGTTCCTCGATTTAGCGGACTTCAGGCTTCACAGAGGGAAGGTTCATCAAAATAGCTGACTTCAGGCTTCACAGAGGGAGGGTTCATCAAAGTAGAGAAAGCAGGGGTGGGGAACAGAAGAGCGATTCACAGATGTAAAAGAAGGGTTTACAGTGGGAAGGTTCATCAAAGTAGCAGAAAGCCGAGGGGCCTTCACAGAAGGAAGGTTCATCAAAGTAGCAGAAAGTCCAAGGGTTGGAACAGAAGAGCGATTCACAGATATAAAAGAGGCAGACAAACACAAAGATAGAGATAAAGGTAAGATGAGTACTGTGAAGGGGTCGAATATGACAAGCAGTCGGGCCATGGTAGTTCGAAGTCAGAAGTCAGCTGCCGGTTAATAGACTTTTTTGCCGTATGAGTATACGTTGCCCAGGGTGCACCACGTGGAGGTAAGTCTATCGCACACCCCTGATAGGTAAACTTGAATGCAGAATAGTTTGAACACTTTCATTAAGAACGAAATTGCTGGTCACTTCGTATTTAACAAATATCTTTACTGCAGCACTAATTTACGTAAAAGCCCATATTTAAAAGCAATAAATTTAATTAAAAATCCCAGAGATCACACCACTAGAAATTTTATTATAAATTGAGCAATTATTTCACTCGTTTACGAAATATTTTTGTGCTAATTGGTTAAAAGGCAAAATTTCAGAAAATAAATATACTATGAGATGTGCAGTGAACACTACATACATATGCCCTTGGCAGAATCTCAGTAATCAGCTTAGATGCTTAACTCTCTTTACTCAAGTACAATTAGTGCCCAGCAGTCCTCTAATATAAATTTGATCCCAAGATGAACAAGGCCACGTCCAAAGTAGAAAGAGCCTGGACAGTGTCGTGTATAATGAGGCTAGAACGAAAAAATTTCCAGTGTTTGAATAGAACTAACGCTACGCTGAAAGAATATTGGTTGCTGATTGGCTGGGAGTTGTCTGCAAACACGACCGCTATTGTTTGATACCCGATCGGTAGCACACCCACCTGGGGCTCCTTTGGCCAGCCTTAGAAGCGTTACACACTTCACAGATGTTATGGCCGGAGACGGTGCTGATCCCGTAGTTGTTGGTGAAATCCGTTTAGATAGAACACATTGTTAGGAGCCCTCCGCTATAGAGTATGCTAAGTCAGTCTTACCACAATTAAAAAATCTACATTAGGAGCCAAGTCAAATGTTATTATTAATTGTTTTGAAATTGGTAGGAAGGGCCACAGGTGTGCTAGAGCAAAGTTGAAGTCTGCGGTAAAGTTTGACTTGATATATCGGCTCTTAATTGGATAAACTCTTCTTTCAATTTACCACCTTGAAGATGTCCTAGACTTTTGGCATAGAGTAAGTTCTAGATGATTTCCAGTGTGTCATTGATTATATCTGTGTAAGCATACCTGTGACTCCTCCAATCCTCAACTTAGGAAATGGAGGCTGATAAATTTGTGCCCAAAGGATGGGGTTTGGTCAGCCTTGATTGGAGGATTAGAAATTTAATACGGTGAGACTGACAACTTCTTGATATCCTTCCCATTGCTTAATGAAAACACTACTGAGAAAATCCCAAACCGTTTTGGACAAAGAGTAGCATCATGGACCCTTATTGGTGAAAAACTCAAATTATTCCGCTCTCCATGTTGGGCATATTTAACCAGTGCTTTTGGCCATTCGGATCACTAGGTGCACGCTGATTCCGATCGAACCCGTAGCCCCTAAAGGAGTTGACGTGCGCGGTGACAAATGTAACCACCGAGGCACTAAAGGAAAGAAAGCTTGACTTTGCAAAATGAGCCTTGTTAAAATCTCCATCTCAACTCATGTAATTGATATACGAATTTCAATTTCTTCCAGAAAGTAATTAGTGATTGGTAAGCAGGCTGATAGCACGAAATTTTCAGTAAAAAACTGTCAAACCAGACAAGATTGAGGAAATTTAATTATAGAACATTAGCACGAATGGTATTTGCTGAATATTTCGGTGGTAGATTAAATTGATAATAAAGACTAAAGCATCAAAGCACGTCTTGGGCTTCTTAATGAAATAAATCATGCTAATATATTTCCTCAATTTTATATAAATAAGATAAGAGACTCGTGTGGAAATTTAGCTCTTTACGTCAAAAAGAGATTTCATTTTTCCCTGTTGCTAGATGTCCATTCTAATTACGCTTTGATTTCTAGTATTCATTTGAGAAACAAGAAAGAAACAACGCTTCAATTCGCTCTAAGGTTTGTTATAATTTGATATTAGTCGCTAAAAGTCCCATTGTTTCATTATTAATGAAAGTAAATAGCTTTCAGTAATAACCTAAATCTGACTGGAAGAGGAAATAAGCATCTAGCAATAATGAAATCGTCTAATAATTTCGATTCTACGCAGGTTTTCTAGCTTGTGGAGCTCTCAATACTCTCAAGGTTGATCAGAGGAATCTCATATGTGTTAGAACATTCTGGAAAGTACGTCCGTATGTACGTAATTCCATTTAATAGCTAGGCATGTTAGTAATCTGCCCACGAGTACAGTAAATACTTTCCACTTTGTATGTTTTGTGGCCCGCCACTATAAATACTCATTCATTAATAGACGCTTACCGTCTTCATTACTAAATCAAGTCAAATACATCTACACTCCTAGTCTATATGCGAACTTAAACTAAGACGAGATCAATAAAGAATTAAAATTTAAAAATTTTTTATTATGGACGACACAGAAACACTAAGGTTGGTATCACGTCTCTGGTAAACTCAAGATTTCAAAGCACTTCATTTCTTACATTTGAAGCCTCATAAAGAAGAAGCATTCTTTCGCCATTAAGATTCGACTTCCCTCAGCTTCGATTCATTTATTCAAAAACTTACCAAAGAAGTATAAGTTAATACTATTTGCATAATTTTAATTTTTATTCCCTAAAGCTTATTTAAACAAAATCAATTATATGCTTTCAAAAATGTGTCAAGTTGCTAGGTTTGTTAAGTCACATGTTTTGTCTGTTCTCCTAATATGGCCTTGAAGCTTAGATTACTTAACTAATATCTCTAGCGGTAAGTAAAAAAACTCTAGAATAACAAGTAATTAGAGAAATGTGAATTAAAGTATGTAAACTAAGTTGGTCGAAATTATCGTTCATATAAATGTTCGATAAAATTAATTGCTGACGTTTAAACTATTGGAAATTAAATATATTTTACTTCCTACAAGTACACGGGGCAGGGACATTTGTTTTCTATTACCTTTGCTTTAAAATGGTAAGTTGTGCATTTAGAAGACCAACCTGAAAGCTTCTGTTTGGGGTTGAGACAACAGGGACATTATTTCTTCAGGATCCGTCTATGGTTATACACTAATAACAATGTACCTTGAGGGAGATTAGACTGCATCGCCTTTTCATTTAAGTGCTTAAAAGCTGTTCTAATTCGCCGGCCAATATTCTATGGAATATCATCCAAAACGTCAATAGATTATATTTCAATTTCCTTTAATTTATTGCAGAGTACTATAATTTAATTCATCATTAATTGTAAAGATTCCAGTGAGGCATGTAAAAAAACCCCGTGGGAAAGACTCTACAAGTGAAATTTTTCAAGCACTCTCCATAGCGTATTTAGGATAAAACAAAACGTGTTGATTCAAGAAAGAAAACTATGTGAGTGTGTCAAATATTTTCTTGAAAACACCATTGTGTATTTGTAGGCATGATATGCAGGACTTGTCGGAAGAGTGCGTCATTACTTTTGAATCTTAGTTGTACTTTAAGGAAGTATTTAGAAAGTACAATTTTCAAAGTAAAATCCAATATGAGAAAACTATTATTTGAGTTGGAGAACCTAAACGAAGGAGTAAAAACAAATTTGTAGCAATGAATTACTTTAAATGAAAATCACGTTCTTGTTTGTTAAAGCTCATAAATTCCCCATTTTTTCTCAGGATGCAACCATATTTCGGACTATTACGTCATATTTCAAATCATGAACCAATTTAATGTAAGTACATGAAATCGAAATTTAAAAAGGCGAAAACATTGAGAGAAATATTATCCATTAAATTATCGTTCAATTGGGTGTCTGTTATTACTAAAAGACCATATAAAAAAATAACAGTAACGTTTTAATTTTTCAAATTACAACTACCTACTAAAGGAGGAGACCGTAGCATTAATTATTTTCCTTAATAGATCTTTATTTATTTATCGATTGCACAACTAAATACAATGTCCATAACTTTAGAAAAGAAGTGATAAGACGGAATTCGACATAGAATATTAGTTTTTGTATTAGTCACAAATTATTAAAAAAAGAATATAGAATGTTTTGAAATACAAATCTTACTTCATTAATAAAAATACCACTGTCAAACTCCTGTATAAATTCCAACAATATGCTGGAGCCAATTAGTGAATATGGTTATTTCAATGAATGAATGGGCAACAATCATAAAATATCTTCTTTCTTCAGGGACATTCATCAATATTTCGCGGTGCTTTCAAAGCTAGTATATAAAAAGTTTAAAACTTATTTAGGTTGTCGAAAAGTAATGCCATTCTTGGGTTTATTTGATAATACTACTTCAAGGAAGCTGTTTTGCCAAATTTAATTCGATTTTCATTTCTAGTAATTGTTATCAAATATTTATTGACATTAATGTATATTTAAATTTGCCCTCCAAAACCGCTCAAATAAAACAATAATAAGAAAATAAATTTTATCAAAGATTAATTCACTCAATAGTTTAGAATATCTAATTGAATTTGTATTAACGAATGAGTCTAAAACCGTAAACCGTTTTAACATATACTCGCGCCCCCGCATTGTTTAAGTATTTAGCGAATTCGTTTGCGCTTTCTGTGAAGATTCGCCAAAAAATGTTTGAATTCACTAAAGTTATTTTGAGTAAACTCTCAACAGGAGCATCAAAAAGCGAAATAGTCGGTACTGATTTAAATCTTGAATTAAAAACTGGTCACGAATGCGGTTTGACTTTTAAAAAGTAAGTTGATTTATTTCTTTCAAAATTCAGGTCCGACAAAACCATTTTGTTCTTGAGCGTTAAATCTGAACAGCTCAACAGATGCCTAGAGAAGGATGTTTTCATTAACGTTAATAGCTCACAGTATCTGTACATAATGACATTCTCCGATTCTGTTCAGATAGCCCAGTTTATGGTAGGTTTAATTGTGGTTTCTCTACTGTTCAGGAAGCAATTTCTGATGTCGCAACGAAGGATCAAAATGATCGAAACAGAGGATCTGTTTTTGATGCAAGAACTGACACGTGGTCAGCTGTCCAGTATTTTCAGTTTTACAGTTACCTCGGCCAGCAACAAAACATGATGCAGGTAAGAAAAGCAATAGAAATTGATTTTTTGAACCCTTTCTCTCTAGGATTATGTAAGGACATCCACCTACCAACGTGCAATTCTGGCTAATTCGAAAATCGATTTCCTCGACAAAATTGTCTTAGATGTAGGTGCCGGTTCTGGAATTCTATCCTTCTTCGCAATTCAAGCTGGCGCAAAACGTGTATACGCAGTTGAGGCTTCCAATATGGCTGAGCATTGCAAGGTTCTTGTTCAGGCCAACAATCTCTCAGATCGTATCATTGTTGTCAGGTAATTTATGGCCGTATATTTGTATCTGTCTATCGTGTTTATTCACTGTTTATATACATTTGCAGTGGCAAGATTGAGGAAATTACCCTACCAGAATCTGTAGATGTCATAATCTCTGAGCCTATGGGCTACATGTTATATAACGAACGTATGTTAGAGACTTACGTTCATGCTCGAAAGTTTCTTGCTCCTCAACATCGTGCCAAACGGAAAAATGAGAATGGCTCAGCAGATACCGAAATGCATGATGCATCCACTAGTAGCAATGCAGAGGAGGTTTTCGCTCTGTGCAAACCCGGTGTTATGTTCCCCTCTGTTGGAAAGATGTTTATTGCTCCGTTCTCTGATGAGGGCCTATTCGCTGAGCTCTATACTAAATCCAACTTTTGGTATCAACAGGTCTGTCGTTAACGGTTCGAACCTTCCCCAATACCAGACTATTATGCTCTCTTAGCTAATTTTCCCTTTTGTAGAGCTTCCATGGAATGGATCTGACTTCCCTAAGGGAGGCAGCTGTGAAGGAGAACTTCAGCCAACCCGTTGTAGACACCTTTGATATCAGCATTTGTCCCGTCAATGATCCTTGTGTGGACACCGTTGACTTCCGAAGCGTTGCAGAATCAGAACTCGCTAATATTTACATTCCTCTTGAATTTACCATCAACCAGTGCACAACTGTCAGTATTTGCTATTTCCCACTTCCTTATTCTGGTCACAAAATATAAATATTGTGTTTTGTTCATAGATCCACGGTCTAGCCTTCTGGTTCGAAGTAGGATTTTTGGGATCAGAGGCGGATGTTTGGCTATCTACTTCGCCAACAGAACAACTTACACATTGGTATCAGGTGGGTATAGTGATGTGACTCTGTAAATTTGTTGTTTTATGGCTTTCTCTGTGTATTTATTATATAACTATTTCTTAAGAGTGACCTGCTTCTCTTTTCCCATGTGTTTAGGTACGCTGTTTACTTGGAAATGCTCTGCTTGTACAAGAGGGACAAGTGTTGACAGGCCATGTCAAGATGGCTGCCAACTCTCGTCAGTCTTATGATGTGGAAATTGAACTTGTGGTACCTACCACTGGCATAAAGGTGCGTTTTCCTGTAAACTTATTTGCAAGGCATTAATCCTTTAAAGGTTGTGTTGATCCACTGAATAAGATAAATGTATTGGGTAAAAGATATACGAGTGTAGTAATCACGAGCTCATTTAATTCACCAAGTATTGGAAACGTCGTTTTCTTGAGCAGCTCTAATTAATATCCTTAAACATTGCTAATTTTAGTATTCGATTAAGATCACTACTTTTCACGAATCCCTCCTATTACTAGTTATAGCTAACTCGTATTTATTGAGTTAGTAAAATCGTTAATTTCGATTTCCTTTGAGCTTTGAGCAGGGTATAATTCCACTGAAATCGGTTCCTCTGTGCGTACTTCTCGTTATCTTCAAGAAAATTGTTAGTTTTTCATTCGTGGAACATTTAAAAATTTATGAATTTTCACCGGACGATATTTTTATGGAATTCGTTTTTTTTAATTCTTCAACAATTAACAGGTTTTCTGGCCATTTATGAAGCATTTATCTTTTAGATTGCTTATATCTGGAAAGTTCTCACTAATTTTTATTTGATCGGACATTGGATCGATGGTAAATATTTTACTATTTTATGAGAACTGTTTCAAACCCATTGTAGAAACCACAAATAGCACAACCTGAATATGAGGAGGTTTACTTTAATTTTATTTCGTTTTGTATATGTTACCGTAAGTTAGTGTTTTAGTCGAATGGCAATATTGCAAATGTGAGCGATCTTAAAGCGCCAATAGACGTCATTTCTTCTCCCAATTGCCTGAGAAGTTAAGTGTATAATAAATCACTAATTTTATTTTTATGCATTAGGAAATATTTGAGAAACTTCAACAAGCGTTTAGGTTCCAGAGATCAGGTCATATTAGGCTCTCATATTAAGATGTTACTTGCGAATTATTTTTGATAGAGAGAAGTTTCAGTCAAGATGTGAATAATATGTGGAACCTTTTTTTCTTGTAGCAGCTTTTATTAAATTTTCATTATCATTTTGGGTTTTGGTCAAACTAGTTCAACAAACGTGTCTGTTCTCATATTCATAGGAAAGTGTTTATTTTTTGTTCAAACGTACTGTTTGTATATATCCACTGAATTTCCAGGTTCATTGATCGAGGTTTTAATAATGCTCTACCTTAGCTGGAAGAAGTTCTGGAGTTTTCACATCCCTCCCCCCCNCCCCCCCCCCCCCCCCCCCCCCGCCCCTCATTATTGACCTGAATTAACCACTGCGATTGGACATCAACATCACTAGGTGTACATCAATTTTATAACCTCTGATTTGACAGACAAACCTCTTGATCACTATATCACTTAAGCACAGTAACCTCCAAGCCTGTTTCCAACACCCAGCTTGGGTATAGTGGTAACATCATCTGAGATACTGAAATTCCCTCCATTTTATTTGCTATAAATTGCCATTGCCATTGGTCATTCTGTTCATTCGATAGCACTTATGAGTATCTAACCCTTGCCCTGCATACTTCTTTCCATTTCAAATAGCTAACCAACCACCTGGATTTAAAAAATCCCCTCTTCCGTTACACCGGTTATCCCCCTGCTCCACCCCCTGGATATCACTCCAAGTCACCCACTGAGGCTTACTATAACAGCTTGAACACGGGATGCGCTTTAGGGCAAGTTCAACAGCAGGCACAACAGGCAGTAACGGCGGCTTATGTGACTACGAATGCTGTCAGCCCTGTGAACACCGCTGCGCCTGCCACCCTCATGTTCCCAGCGTCAGCCGCGGTTGACCATGATGTAGCATCACCTATGGGTATGATCCCTACTGCTGTAGGCACTGTTATTCCTCAATCTGTCACTGGGTTGACACTGAATGCAAATAATGCCGATATACTCACCAATGGGTGGGCTATTGGAGGTGAGTATTTTGTAGTTTGAGATTCTTAAGCATGTATTTGACAAGTGATGTAATAATCAATACTTACTAATGTAGTTGAAATTGTTATACATTAGTAAGTATAGGTGTAATATTTACTGTGTTGCCTTAGTAGTCTTTTCATTGTTCATATGATCTTCTAAAGGCATTACTAATAACGCAAATACCGTTCACTTTGTAATGAATTATACTGTTAGAAGCCTAATGTCACTAGAAAGCATTCGATTGTCAGGTTTCTCTTGAGTATATTTACTATTTTGGATCCGCAAAGTTTACATTTTAATATTTGATCCTTAGGTTTCTGAATGAGTTTGTGCTCAGCATTCTGAGCTTATTAACTTGTTGATTTAGTTGAGCGATTAGCCGTATCACCTGGATATTCTTACCTAGTTAAAGACTTTTAAAATTAAAAGAATAGAAAGTAGCTTTGTCCAACTAATTAAAGGTTGAGTAGCCATACAGTTTAGTGGTTTACCGAGAGAGGGACGAATGGAGTAGAGGTGTTCATGCTGTCTGCAAAAGGTGCTTGATGCATGTTTGTCTGCCACAGTTAGTTATTATCAGTCGACATTTTTGGACAATGCTGGTATTAACCAACTTTGTACGCACTAACTCCAACTAGCTTTAAAACTTAGGATCCTCTCCTTTTTGCGCCCACTATTATCATTGTTACCTCTCGATTGCACGGGATATTGGTTCTATAAAACTTTATTATGCGTGTACCCGGCAACCGCTAATTAAAGAGTTAATTGTGGTATCCCTTTTGCTTCTTTGCAGCTCAAAAGCTGTTAATAAAGATTGATTTTTTTGTTTAGACGTTGTAGTAATCTGCAAGTAGTTGTTTAATCAGGATAATCAATCAAGGCTTTACAATAGTAAAAGCTAGACAAGGATTGAGTATTAATTGATGATTTTTGTATTGGAAACTGCATACCTACTTTCCAGTAAGAGCATGTTTTGTCTATATCACTTTATTATTAAGGTCATGCTTGACAATAGTAAGAACGTTTTTTCTCAAGCAACCATATTCTGAATATTTAACAAGTGGTCAGACCCCATATGCCTCGTCTGTTTACCCCTTATGTAGAGCTTCAGACTGGTAGTTAGGATGTTTGCAATTGCTAACTGAAGGTACTGAGTGACTGTGATCCAAATCTCAGAAGTATTGGCCAAGTTATGTATAAAACAGGTTTATGTCATATGGTTTGTGGCCTCGTACCCTTTCCAATATGCCTAAAGCTAAAATTCACAAGAATAAGTGAATGAGTCTCCTGGACCGGCACAAGAGTGGGGGCCTAGTTCTGTAAATTTATCACTGATGTGTCCGTCCGTCAAAGTACATGTATGCAGAGTCAGATATCACTAGCTTTGACTGTCTAAAGGTGTGGTTGGTCAGAGAATATCTGAAGTATAAATTTCTCGTATTAGCGGCTCCAGTATACTATTCTTCCATCCTAGCCAGGTGCCGCGAATAACCCTCCTACTGTACTTAACGTCTTTATTAACAGATACCCGACCGTAATCGAAGTTAGCCAATGCGTCTAGCACAATGGGATGTGTAAAATAGTATGGCTATGTCATACAAAATCAATCACCAGCAAATGGGCACCCTCCTATTAAAGTAGGAAGTGGCTTCGGATCAATAGTAAGTCAACATGAGTGGGACACTGTGCAAGCTTTGTAGAACAGCTAAACCAATTGGAGAAGCTGCATTAGATGCCATCAGATACTAGCCGCTTATTGAAGATAGGTCCTAGACCAAGGCAGTTCACTTTCATCTAATGGCCAATCATTCTGCCAGCCTTCTATCTATACTCTGACTGGCACGCTCGTCTTGCTACAAAATTTATTTCGCGTCCGATATGAAATAAACTTGATTTCAACATTTCAGGTCAACCTCCCGTGTTAAATCAAGCTGGTGGCCGCTTTCTCCTGACATCTCAAGTGGATTATAGTCCGCGTGCATCAATTTCGTAAACAAACACCACTCCACTTCGGTTTCTGTAAAAACAACACTGCTTTGAAAGGACAATCTCTCCGTTCATTATCCCATGACTAAAACTTTACTCCTCCCTCATTATGCAACAAATTTCTAACCGTTTTGGCTGATCGTTTGACCGTTTTCTTGCCCTATATTCATTGGATGTTACTATTCATTCCCCCTTTTGTTGGCCTGTTCATTTCCTAATTCTCCCGCTTTTGTGTTATATCTCATGAATATGAACAGAATGAAAAAAATGCCACTGAAATAAAAATGTGAACAAATGAACTATTCTGATTCATCGTCGGAATTATTGAAATCATCGTCACTGTTCTCATCTTGGGAATCGAAAAAGTCTTCGTCTAATTTTTCTCTATTGGAGGATAGTTCAACTTTATCCAGGTATTCTGCAACTTTGGAGTCGGTGTCTTCCTTTTTAGATTCCATTATTCGCAATATTGTTCCTGTGAAATAGAAATAAACTATAGAAAAAATGCTATCAGTACTAACGTCGTTCCCTTTCCCGCATCTTTTTTAGATTGGCGAAGAAGAACCTTTCTGTTTCCTCCTCTTTTGGATTAGGTCTATTAAAAGTAAGATCAAGTATTCGAATTGAACTAACAGAGGAACCACAATTTCGTTATTTTGGGCGCATTTCCCACAAACGTGTAGACTAGCTATGCAGGTTTCACAAACGGTGTAATAGGCTCGCTTGATATTTCGTTGACTACACTTAACACTAAGAGGGAAAAGGTCAACAGAACTAGGCATGACTTACCATGTGCTAGGTTTGGTAAGGGGCTTGTATTTTTTATATTTGATCTTCCATTCGATTATTTCCTTGCACCTCTGACACAAACCATGCATTTCTAGCTGACTTAATTTTTCAATTAGCTTGGATGTATCGTGCAAATTGTTAACAAAGGCCTTGCTGTTTGCGTGTTTTTGTGGCCGATGTCGATGAGCATTACCACGCTGTGAGCTCATTGCGGATATCCTAAAAATACGGTTGCAATAAATAAATAAAAATTTAAACAAAACAGATTAAATAAATCCAAAACATTCTCTAATTATGTAAAGAATACTCACGCTTGTAGGTCAAAATGTAGACTTACACCACCCGCCTTTGCGAAATAAAGTATAAACAATAAATAGCAGCCGAGAATTTCTTTGGTCAAATCTTTCAAAAACCAAAAAAAATTTTGTAGGAATTTTAGCATGTATGTCAGCTTTTTAGGTTTTTTCTGAGTAATATTGTACTAATCAAAAGGAATCTGAGCTATTTAAATCAATGTCGTTGGTCGTTGCATTTGTCTCCAAATCTTAACGATTTGGTTGGCTATTTTGTCGATATAATATTCTAAATATTTATCCGCGCACTCCGTTTTAATGCAGAATAATTAAAGTGTCAAAAATATTTTTATATTACTGCCAACTTAAAGTAGCTATTTCATGGCTATTATTAGGATGTTTACTCCAGATGCACCACAAATTACGGTGATTTAAATATCAAAATAACCTAATCATGTATTGACTATTTGCGATTATTATATTTTCATGTCATTTCGAAATCAGCAGAAATGGTCTGACACAATTTCAGCGCATTTGTCTTGGGAATACCTTAAATAACCGAAAGTCATAGTGGTTTGATAAAATCGCATGTTACGGGTATATAACAGCAAATTTTCATATTACTCAGTTATGATTTTACTACATGTTTTAGAAAACCTAAAATGTGATACAAAAAATCTTATGAATAAGGAAAAACAAAACTTCTGGAAAAAAATTTCGGTAAATCATTTTGCCTGTAGTAATTTTTATCAATTGAGGTAGTGGGGTCAATTGAAATAGAATTGAATTTTCTTGTTATCGATAAAGCACCGATTAATAGGAAGAGCCTTGCATTAATTACTCCAATTAAATACGTATTTTTTTCTTTTTTGTTCATAATTCAGAATCCGAAATTCTTATCCCAGTTCAATTACTAGTGTAAACTATGTAAGCCTTTGTATTTTCCGAATACTATTAACTTCTCTTAACTGCTTGAAAATGGGAATGACAAATTCCAACAAACTGGTAAACGAGCTCTGCCAATTACGTTCGCTAAGGTAAGAAATTTATTGTGAATTTTGAGCTTGAGATATTTTTAAGCGGGGTGTGTGATAGACTTACCTCCACGTGATGCACCCTGGGCAACGTATATTCATACGGCAAAAAAGTCTATTACCTGGCAGTTGACTTCTGACTTCTAACTACCATCACTTCACTGTATGTCATATTCGACTACTTCCACAGTACTCATCTCACCTTTTTTCCACCTTATCTACCTTTGTCTTTGAAACACTCTTCTGTCCCCCCCCCCTCTCGACCCTTTTCACTTTGATGTTCCTTCCCCTCAGTGAAGCCCGAAGTCAGCTAAATGATTAATGATAACCATCAAAACACCTGCCATTTGTTAAAAAAATATTTTTAAACAATGTATGAGAGATTGGATTTTTCTTGTTGCTGCCTGTGTGCAATGGTCAATTTTATAATCTTGATAATCCCCCTCCCCCCCACCAACCAATTATCATATAAAATAATGACTATCATTTGCATTCAAAACTCCATAATCACCTAACTTGACATTAGTGACTTTAGCCAGAAATCTTCAGTAAAAGTTGTGTATTTTCGCTCATTCCTAAGGTTAAAGTCAATAGCAAAATAATTGAGGCAAATTCCATTTTTTGTATTTTCAAATTGATTGTTTAATAAGGTTCCATTTTAAGCTCAAAAAACTCACGTGGACAGCAGCAACCATTCAAAATATCTGACCATTACTAATTGGTGAAACAATTCGGATTACGTTGGATCATTTTCCTTTAATTCAAGATTTGCTAAACTCATTACTTTTTTCTTGTGAGCTAAACTTAAACAAAGTTATTAACTATGAAATAGTCTATTTTCATGATCTTGTAGAATTCTACATTTTATTTGGCCACAATACATATGCTTGTTGTTTTAAAATGTCACATTCCTTGTAAAGAACTACTAAATTCCAGCTTTAATACAATTGTTCAGACTCGTCCTGGTGCATAAATAAAGCTTAAATGTTTTAACTACTAAAATTTTCGTTAATCACACAAGATTTGAATAAATACTCTTTTATCAAGTCGATGACTACAGTTCAATCCACTATCTGAAATATAACTGACGGTTAAGATCTCAAGATTAGTGTGTGCTCGCAGATCGATAGGAATAAAAATATGCAGGAGGTTATTTGTCACCCCGATACGATGCGCTTCTTCACTGCCTTTAGTCATGTATGTCATCGTTCCATCGCTAAGAAAGGTTCAGCAGTGTACTGAATATCATTATAAATCTAGTTGGAGGTCCTACAATATTGTTGTTACAATATAGGGCAACGCTAAGTTTTTGAAGTCGCCCTGGTGGTGCAAGCTTGAATACTCAAAAACTGGTGCTGTTCGGCCGACGACACACTGATCGTTCCAGTGGAAAGGATATAAAATTTACAATTGGATGCTCATGAATCATTAAAGCTTGTAGCTGGCAAGTTTGACCGGAGATTAGTAGAATTCGTATACTGTTCTGAGGTTTCACAACTACCCAATATAACTAACGCTAGTTTATTAAGGTAAAACTGGGGTTAGCTAAAGACAGCGGATTTTTATCAATTCCGCTTCTATGTAAATCTGACAAGAAAATGGTTTTACGAGAGTTAAAAACAGGCTTTTGGGTGCTTTAACTTGCTGCTCTATCTTTTAACATAGAGCTAAAAGCCTCATTCGTTCCATTATGAGTGAACAATAACTTAACGTAATTTCAAGTTTTTCGTTTGAGTTCAATTAGTGTCGGGAATTTTGATGGTCTACTAAATTCTCCACTATGACGAAAAATTCTTTACTGTTGAAGGTGACGCTTAAGTGGGTTTTAAGAATTCGGCACCAAGCTCAATACCATTTACCAGTGCATTTCTTCTTTACTTGTAACATGTTGACTCACAGGCGGTAAAGAAAACCAAAATAAGCAAACACTCTGGTCAAGAGAAGAGCTCCGTGATTCAAAGAACACAATCAGTCCAATGGCTATTTGAACTGGACGACTTCTAGTGATTGTGTTTATCTCCACTCAACCCTCAATAAAACTTACCGATAATTAAATCTAACTCAGCTCTGCCCGTCTTTTCTTCGCCTTCATTTTGAGTACTAATGTTAGTTAGCAATATTTTATTCGCTAATGTAATATGTCATCATGACTCAATCAATATAATGTTGATATGGTGTTCCATTTGGCAATTAGATTGCAATGATTTCGTTAGTATGTGAAATATTAAATCTCCCCTTTACGAAAATTTTTATTCCCCTCCTCCCAAGAGGTGAGAAAAGAGAAGGTCAGAATATGTTTTTAGTCACTCAGCTATTCATTATGAAACAGTTCTGTGCAGAATCGTTCCGAATTAGGCATCTATTTTTGCATGGTACAGTGTTGTTTAGTCTATAGTGTAAAATAACAACTTGGAATGCATCATTTCCTAAAGGGACACGTCACCAGGTCACTGTAAGCAAATAAGTAAAGGTTATCCAAATGAAGATACTTCCATAGCCTCCTCCCCCCCCCCCCCCCCCCCCCCAATACATATATCAATTTTAAAAATTAAAGGACCTCACTGAATATCAAGAGGCAGCAACCCTCTTTTTTAGTCGAATAATGAGAGTTGCGATGTGCCTCTGTTGTATCATAGGGTAGTCAAGAGCGTCAGGAGAAATGGGACAAAAGTCCTGGGAAGGAAAGCAAGTAGCTCTGCCGGAGTGTACAATGTGTATTTATGTTTACGCTTAGATAGATTGTCGATTTATATGTCATTCCGTGGCTGTCTAAACTAAGCAAACATAAGAACCGCCATGGTGTGACTCCAATTAACTCTGAATAACAAACAATATCAGTTCTAAAGTTGTCAATTTACCCGAAACTGTAGCAAAGAATAGTCATTTGATATTTAAAAACACGAAATTAGTTTAGTTTCAATCGTCTAAAGAATTTATATTAGGAAATTTTCCCATGTATAAAGGAAGGTTTATTAAATTAGAACCAACACGGGGTTTGAAAAGTCTCATTTCGATATTTAAATCAGATTTTGAGATCACCAAACAGATTTAACTTTCGTCTCAAACGTATATATGTTGATGTTTATACATCTATGGCATATTCGCCGTTTAACAACTTGTGTATTTTATTCAGATATTTACTTATCCCCTATCTAAACGTAAGCAAACAATGATTACACTTACCATGTAATAACCACCATGAAAATTTTTAATTTTTGAAATTAGTATTTAGTTTTATTAGATTTCTATTAATACAATTGTGAATAGTTAAAAATATTATTTTGGCTGACATCTCTTCAGTGTATCCCCTGTGCACACTAGCTCACATGGTTCTGATTGGTTTCTCAACCTACAAACACAAAATGACCCGCGCATTTCAAAAGGAAACAACTCTTCAATGCCTAACTGACTTTGTCCGTCTATCGCAAATCGAATTGCCCTGTTTCAACACTAATGTTTCCCACTCTATTCCCAATTCCTTTTGCTGTCAATATCTCCCTTTCTCCCTTTCTTTCGTTTCCAATTGACTCACCACACGTTAGTTTAACGCAGCTCTTAGACTTCAGTCAGTCCTAAGAAGATCACTAGTACTTTCAGGTTATATGAAACTCAATTCTGTCCTGCACCTAAAGTTGGATGGCTTCGGATTAGGGGTGCTTTGCTATATTAGTTCAGACCCTTTCAGGAAGAATAGAAAAAAAATGTTAACAAAATCTGAGGAAACTTACATCTAATGTAGGGGCACGGAAGAGCAGAATTCGGTAAATCTAGCATCCATGGTAATAAGGTCGCCTTTAGATTTCTTTGAATTCTTCTAGAGGTTTCAAAAATATTTCATGAAATCTTCAAACGTCAATATAACTAGTTATTTTTGAGTTGATGAAACCGAACTCGCACTAACGGTCTATCTATTAAAGTGACCTCAGATATAGTTGAGAGAGTTTAATTAAATCAAATGCTGCAATCGTGAGTGCAACCATTCAGCTGGAGAACAGGATGTTAAATATTACGCTCTAATTCCAAAACCCATCAAAGAGAAACATCGTGTAAGGCTTGTCTTGGGTTGACAGCCATCTGTGTGAAGCCACTCATACTTCAAGGACGCTTGTAATTATTAACATCCTGGATAAGCGTCAGGTCTACTTATATTACTGAATCTGTTGAAATTCCTTTTCGAAAGCCCTATTAATACCATCGACATTTTCTGCAGGGAATGATTTGGAACTTTAATTTTCCCTGTCCTCGGATAAGGGGGGAACACTTCTGCTCCACCCATCCGGACGGGGTCAGCAAAACGTCTCTCCAAAAGTCAATAATAACTAATTAAATGGGGGTTCAACTTTCGTGAACCTCTCATTATGACCTCAGTCCTTACCTCATTAGTATACGCAGTCTTAAAATTATAGATTTGGGCATTGACTGTTAATACTGCCATTTCTATAATCAGATCCAATTCCCAATACGATACTCTAAGGTCATGCAAAGTTAAAAGGGCAATACTAATTAATGATTTCTAAAGAGCGAACTCAGCCTTATCAAAGATGTGTATTGAGATATCCTCAAGGAAAGTATCTTTTAATTCCGTTTCGTTCGATTTGCGTTTTGAAACGAAGGGTTGTATCATAAGCCGCGTTTTAGTTGGCGTTTACGAACTTTATGGCGTGGATTTGCAACTAAATTTCCACAATACTATGATTATAGAACAGATTCGAACAGTTGAAGACCTCTGGAAGCATTCTTGAAAATTGTAAATAGACCGTGCTCCTATCAATCTGCACGTAACCCCGTCTTGGGGAAGAAGTTTCGAAACGCTATTTCATTGACCAATAGAAAAATAATCTTATTATCTTATATGAAAATAGTATATAAAGAGGTAAGCAATTATTACAAGTGGCGAATCTTGATGACAAGGCCATATGCAAAAATGGTATTGTGGTTTTTTATGTTTCTATTGGCTAGATTGCCCATAAGATACCAGCTGACTTTGATTTCATAACCACAATATGTAGCTAATTACTCCACTAATAAGCCATGACGTTATTCAGCAATATCTATGGTAGATTCTCTTATACTTGGAAAGACTCCGGAATTATTTAAGCTACCGCAAAGCTATAGAGGAAACAGACGTCTGAGGTGGAATACGCTTATTTGGGATCTGTGTCGTGATGTGGAACTTAATCATAATATGTACTTTCAGGCATGGTAACCACATATTGTCTTTCATCGTTGATTGGTCGAAGCGGATCTCTGCTTTGGTCATGCTTAAGTTATGTTCCCCATAAATATATTTCCAATCTGACAACATGAATATTAGTTCAACTTTGTCATTTAAACTAATTATAAGAAAAAATACGGGTTAATAGAACTTAATAACTCACACTGTTGACAGAAAGATGCAGAGCTTTCAGATATGGACAGAATGTAAATGTGGGGAATATTAAATTACTTTCGGTGTCTGTTTTTCACCTCCTGGACATTTGGAAGCTTTTGCATGTTACTGCTTTGAATATACGAAATATTGCATACACTTGGGTCTTTCAGTGGTAGAATTTGCACAAGCCTGAAGATTGACTGATGTCACCGCTCCAGAGTAACAGCATTGACAACCCTCACAATTTTATAAATTAGCACAACTCAGAAAGCACATTTCCCCCAAGGTCAAAATTATTACAATTACATTCTCACATATAAAACATAAATATTGCAAAAAAAACTTCTCTTTCAAAATGAAACTATTTTGAAAATGTAAGCTTGCGATGTGCCAACATCAGTCACGCTTTGACTACGCATCACCAAATTCCGTCAAAGTACTCTTAAAATCGCCTCAAGAGCTCACCTAAAGTGCATTTGTATTTTAGATTTCATACAGTAAAAATATACGTACAAGCTTGCATACATACATCGACTGATCGCATGTATAGTACTAAAAGGAACGCACTGTGACAAAAAGTTATTAATTGTAGAGGGTGGAAGAGGAGGGGAGGCGTTTGTTTTAAGGAGGTGGTGGGGGGGGGGGGGGGGGGGGGNGGGGGGGGGTGGGAGTTGAGATCGCAACTATGACCGATGAGTCTGGGCTTCTGTTGTGTCGATGCTAGTTTGGTCCGACTCCTTTCCACCACGATAGTACACAAGGCAGAAGATAACAAAAACTACAAAACCGTTAAGGGACAATGCAGCGGCAAACAAGTTGGCGCTGTAGTAACTTCCAAAGGCATCGAGCATATGACCTGAAAGAAAAGAAACAATTCAACGCATACATACTCACATACATACATATGCATAATAATAAAAAATAGAGCTTGGAATTACACTTCCGAATTCATTAATTATAGTGAAGGGGCTAAAATGTCGTCAGTTGGCATCAGAAGACCACAAAGTACTTCTATTAGCATAAAGAGGTACTACTCGAGCTCTCCTGAACTCTACTAAATCAAATTGAACTTACATTTTAAAGTAGAATGAATAAGAAGGCACTCTTTGTACTTTTTAAAGATCAGAATTTTTCGATGTAACCGATTTTTCAATGAATTACGATTTTGCCAAGGTAGCCTATTAAAGATTCTTTCTGCCAATCCAAAGTCTAGGATGGCTAAGGAACCATTTTAGATCCACTTAAATATGGAACTAATTTGGAAAAACGATTGAAAAAATTTGTGGAACTATGTAAAAGGAATTCTGTGAACCATAGTGTTAACAAGTAATCCATACCGACTGCCTGAAAGATAGGGAGGTAACTGAGATAGTTTTAGATCAAGAGAGGAAGCCTACCAATTATAGAGGAAGTCGTGAATGTGAACTAATTACACTTTAAGAAACTGGTAACTATGAGCTTGTGATCCACACCATATTGTCTGCAACTTATTATCTCCCTTATAATGGATACTCGTTGACCGACACAAGCCAAATGCCTGTCATCCACTATTATCTCGTGATAAAAAATACCGAGTCTCAATGCCATTCACTTTTTTATCTTACCTCATTTCTGACATTGAAGTAAGCTAACTTTGGCTCTGAAGTGAGGACTAGACATCCTAGGTTTTGCAACTTCCAATTTAGCCTGTTAGCAGTAAAAGGGGACTGATCATACACTGCTTAAATTCTTAATGGCCATAGACATTAGTGATCAACTTTAACACAATCGATGGGATAATGTAAATTAGGCAAATGGCAAACAGAAATGAGCTGTCACTAACCTCCAAGAAGTGTTCCAGCCAAATTGAAAGCACCGGTGCAGAAGAGACTGATTCCCAATCCGGCGGGAAAGTTAGTCTCATTGAGGAAGAGCTCGAGCATAGGACCTAGGATGGTCATGAAAGCGCCATCAGTCATGCCGAGGAAGAAGCAGATGGCAGCAAATACACTTCCCACGGTGGTGGAGAAGAGACCGACAGTCTCAGCACCACTCACACCCAATGAACCGAGATAAGTTGGGAGGGGCGCGAAGGTGAAGACCAGAGTCATAGCCCCGTTCATGAAGAGCACCATGGCGAAAACACACATCAGACTATTAACCTTTCGCTTGTTTGTCACCTCCGTAGGATTGTGAACCTTGGAGATCAACAAACCAAAGAGAATTTGGCCTTCAAGGGAAAAATCAGACTTTCGTGAGAAATTTACTAATCTCATAGCTCTCTGTAATTCACTACTTCAATACCATAAACAATTAGGATTATCTCGATCTGAAACTGGGGTGTATGCTTTTTTTGGCGCCTAAAGGTGTGCTTATGATATACCCACCTTCCCCAAGACTGCGCTTTTGCCAACTATTCAATAACAAGTTATGGAGGAAAAAACGCATTACTGGTTCAATTATTAATTAGATTATCTTTAATGAATTCTTTAACCCCCGTAAAGTATGCTTCTAATAATAATAATAATTTACCTTCAGTTTTATTACCAAGAGTATTCGGTATTTCAAAAACAAAACCCCGAGATAATAAAACTCTTAGCTACATGCCGCCCAAATAATTCGAATTGCAGATAGTCTTGGAAATGAAATCACCCACTTCAACTGACCTGGCCAATCAAATCGCTATATGCTTGAAAACCACTCCTTCTTGCTTACCGTGTTTAAATTACCACTTACGTGCAATAAATTTGACCGTAGCATTTAATTTTGAAAAGGCTTTCATAATAACCACATTTATAAACTTATTGATGGACATTTTTAAGAAATTGCTTAAAGAATTTCACCGACTGATTTAATTTCCTATTGGTCTTGAAATCTTGGTAAAAGTGGACGGTATTTATGGCACAACCGTACGTATTGGCGTCGTATCATTAGATTGAGCGAATTTCGAACACATTTTAGATTTGAATCCACCGCTGCTAAAGAATGGAGGACCACTTTCGGAGGGCACTATTTTTATCCTCCTGCCATTGCCATTTAAATCGCTTACTTTATCGCATTTACTGTTTATCAAAATGGTAGTTTTAGTCACCAGCCCGTTATTGACTTACCGGCACAAGAGCCAAGACCTATAAGAGAAGGATACCAAGCCAGTTGGGTCTCAGCCACAGAGTTGAGCTCAGTGTTCAAATCCAGCCCTAAGAGCCACCCCGATCGGACGTAGTCATAGACGAATGTCCATGGAATCACCACACTCGCTGCAGCCATCCCATTGGTCAACACATAAATCAAGAAAGGCGCATTAGTCCAAACTGACTTTGTAAAGAGGCATGAGAAGCTCTCCTTTAGCTGTTGACGAAATTCTTTCCATTGAGATCTGGAGTCTTTTTCACTACCCAACATGGAGTATTCAGAGGGTCGAGCTCTTGGACGTTGCTGGACGGGGGTGAAGATCATGATAAGTGGACACAGGCACCAGAGGTTCTTCAATTGATCCACTAATCGAGAGCAACATGATCGTTCTACAAGATATTAAAAGGGAGATACTTGTATAAATGACAAAGTTGAAAGAAAGCAACATCTATCCTCTACTAATTTTAAGGTATGCTGAAAGCCAGCATACATCCATGAAAGATAGTACGAGGAGAAATAGGATACTACCGATGGCTAAGTGTGAGTCATGACAATTACAATTATTTTACCACTGATCATTCGCATTATTACCCAGGAATTAAGTCTCATCATTGATATGTCACTAGTTGATTGGTTAACCAATCAGACTCTCACATTTAATAAATATGAAGCTGCAGGTCTTTTTATTCTTTCTCCTAACGTAGCGGTAAAATATCTCAGGAGTAGCTCAGACTTATAAGTGATTACCGTAGCGTTATATTAGTATTAATTAGATTTAGCAGTACAACGGAGGGGGATACGTGTGTGCAAATAAAAAGGCAGTCTTTAGTTTTGAAACAACAATTTTTTACCTTTGCAAGAAAGCAGACGATTCAGTGATTTCTGCCTTGGTATCTCATTGTAGGTGTAAGAGAAATGCATATATTCGTTACATTAAAATTAGTAATTAGTTAAAGGTTAAATTTTCACCAGTTCTAGAATGGCTCAGTTTGTGTTTACAGACAGTTTGACACCAGCTGGTAACGCTCACAAACAGCAGGATCATGCTGACATATAAGCCACATAATTCAACTCTTTCCCCTTCAGCTCCCATCAATTAACTCATGTCTTCGTTGATCTCTGTTGACTGACCCCTCCCCCCCCCCCCCCCCCGTTTTGCTTTTCTTTAGCATATAATTTCTCTGACAAAGTATAAAAGCATCTGACTTTTGACCTATCGAAAAAAGAAAAACCGAAGAACCACGGTGAAATTCAAACAACACTTTGGTTGAATAACTTTTAATAAAGAAAACTTACTCGGTTGATCTACTTCCACAGTTGGTTCGGAACAATCAATCGACGGTTCCACACTTAATTAAGATAAAGTGATAAATTTAACAAAGGTTTAGAGAAAGTTTTCATGATTCTACAATGAATATAAACTAACCTCACTTTAACGTCATCAAATTGTTCACCTAAAATGGAAACATTCTGTTGCGAATATTATGCTTGTAGTGTATGTTGGAGGTTATATCCCAGTTTTATGTTTTATACCTTGTAAATAATGTGATAGAAGTTCAAAATTGCAACATTCTGTTTTAAAATGAGAGAAATGTAGGAGAGATCACGATTTGTAACTTAGAATCCCCGAATTTGTGGACTTTCACATAATACTAATCAATACAATTTAATATATTACCAAATTACGGAAAGAATACCAGTAAAAAATTGTTAAATAATTGTGCGTTCATTTTTCAAATTTTAATCATTATTACCGCCAGTGACACTTTCGGTGAACCGTACAGGTAACAATTATATATTGAATAGGCTAACAATAGAGATTCGGTAAAAATACCACATTATCAAATGTACAAACTGATAAAGGCTCCGAGCACCGGGAAAAATGTCTAAAATACGAATCTGAGTGCTTTAAATAAGAAAGCAGTGAGATTTGCCCTTCGAGTAAAAGATGCAACACACGAAGCCACAAGGTAAATGACACTCTCATTACTTTCCTCTCTCTCTCCTCGTCTCTTTAATGCTCATCCTCATGTATTGTGTCTTCACAGTAAATTCAAATTGTCATTTTTACTTTGTAGTAGAAATGGCATAGTTTTGGGACATTGATTGAAAGAAAGTTATCGGCAACCTAACAAGAAAATGGTAACGTCAGATGCCTGGTATTGCCATTGGTGGAGGTTAATTGACAAAAAAAACCAATGGTAAATTTGCCATTTTGCAAGCTGAAAGTTCAACAGCAAATATTTCCGATCGATTTTAATGACAACCCGAGACTTGCCATCAATAGGTGAAAAGGTGGTGAGAGAATTCACTTCTTTTTTATATTTGCAATCAAGAGAACAAAGGGGCGTTTCCTTGAAATTTTCAAGTTTTAGAATGTTTTAATAGCACAGATAATAGTAGTGGGAACCTAAAGACAAAGCCGTATTCTCGAGCAATGCGTAAACAGTAAAATCAACATAAGTTGTTAGAAAGTGCAAGTTATTTGTAACGATTTTAAGTTTATGTAAACCAGATCATTTGCACTTCAAGTATTACTTTTTAATGACATTAAGATAGTAATTTTAAACATATATATTGCTGAGAATATAATTAAGTCAAAAGAATTATTAATTTCCACATCGAACTTTCTCTATCACGCCCAGACACAAATTTAAAAGCCGCAATACTCAATCAAATCAACGATTTGTGAGAGTGATTGCATAGACCATTATTGCTACCTATTAACCTTACAAAAGATGTGCCCGTGATAATTATTTTCGCTCAAGAGCATGAACCTATAATTAGCAAAATCTCAAGATTTTTCAGTTCCACAAGCAAACAAAACCGGAATAAAAACTATGAATTACAATTATAACGAAATAAAAATTGCAATATTGGGGTAAAGCAACCAGAAGCATTACAAGAGAAATGGAACTAGCTAAGTAGAGCCAATATACTCTTTTAATTTAATAGAATAACATAGCAATCTTATAGGGGTTTTGAAAAACCACTGATTTCAAAACATTAGAAAGCGTTTAAGATGCGTGTATGCGCTACTTACCTTCTTCGTAATAGGCTTCATATCTTGCAGTTTCTTTTTCAATAGCTCCACGTTCATCAGACCAGTAGAAGATCGCAGCGGAGATCCATGCATGAAGGAAGAAGCCTCCTTGAATAACGAGAGTCTCGCGCCATGTCCAGAGAGAGAGGACCCAGATGAGCATGTGATTAGTAACAAATGCACCGATGCCTCCTCCGCAAGTCATTATGCCACATGCCAAACCGAACCACTTGCTGTCTTTAAATGTAGCACAGACAGCCATAAATGCAGATGTATAAGTCAACTGCAATCCAAGAGACATCAAGACGCCATATGCAAAGTAGGTAATGCCGATCTCCTGTGCAAATGATGTAACTAAATGGAAGTGTGAGTTAACTAATTTCGTACTTTACCGATGAAACTAAGACATAGAAAAACGGAGCCCCAAGCTGCCGCTGTTGAGTATCCAACACTGTTAGTGACCGGACAAATAAGTGGTGACATGAATTGGGGAATCGCGTAAATTAATGCGGGCAGCAAAGAGGTTGCCGTGGCACTCGCATTGAAGATATCCTTAAATTCAGTAAATAAAATACCAGCTGAGTAGGTACAGCCATCAGCCAAAAAGTAGCAGAGGAATCCTCCAAGCACAACGGCCCATTTCAAAATTTTAGATGTATCCATGTTAAAAGGTGAAAACTAGCACAACTGCAGATATGAAGCACGAAGTAATTAAGAGAATAGCCCTAAACTGAAAAGTCGCTTAAGGTCAAATATTATTTGGTCGCAAATTCATTTGTACAAACAAAATATAATTCGATTATAATTTAGACAAAATTTTATTATACACCGTTTTAGCTTTTTATAAATTTATTTATATCACTTTTTAGTTGTTTTATTTGTAATACCTGAATTGCTAATAATTACGCAAATTTTTGCTATTATTTTGTAACCTGAAATAACTGAACAATTACTCAGTGCCAATGTAGCGTTTAAAATGTGGCTCGAAAATGACATTCAAATTTTGGCTTTATTCACAACAACCGACACATTTCTAAATATTCCTCGTTCTCCGAGGGTTCGTCCAAACTCATCCTATAAACTTGACTGACGTCTCACAAACCGTGTGAAGTGACTTTGGTGTAAGCTCCCAAACACAAATCGTTAAAACTCCAGATAAATTCATTGTATTGTAATAGAAATGTTATGTAGTTAAGCAGTATATAATATAAATAAATAAAATCAACAAGGGATTTACAATGGTAAAAATAGGAGTCAAGAGAATAAATCTAACAGAAATCTTCAAGATAGCTCAGAAGTCGGAGCATTTCCAGATGAATCTAGACTGCTTTCACTTGAGCTTCTCAAAAGAGGCAGATCTTGTTGGATTCTCTCTGCAACATTCAACGAACTCAACCGATTCGGTTCCGAGGAATCATTTCTGTTCACCGACGATAGTGAGGTAGCTCTCGAGTTGCCCGAAAAATATTGCATCGAGTTAGCAACCATTGATGTATCACCAACACCAGGGTTATTCCCGATTCCCGAATTCGTAGCTGATGTTGCTCCACGATGATACGATTCCTCGTCGTCATCAAGAATCCGTTGTTGATGACGACCGTTGTGATGGTACCTCCTACGTCGCCTTCGTTGATAATGTGTAATGGGTAAAGGTCGAACCGGTTGAGAAGCATCTCCCGTTGTTTCTGTCCCTGTAGCGTCTAGAGTAGCTTCTGAATGTAGTGAGAATGTTGACAGATCTGCTACAAGAGATGATGAAGGCGTAGACGGCTCTTCGACTTCCAAAAGGCGTGGACGTTGATGACGAAGAGCACTAACAGCATCTACATAAACATTGGAGCCTGGAGGGCCATTTATAGCTGTTCTATTGGTACTACCTCTGTTATGTGAATTAGCCCCATTACTTCCTTCATTATTAGCACCAGAATTTATCAATTGAGAAGGATGAGAGGATTGTTGGGCATTATCTTGGGCCCCCTCTCCAATCAGTGTATCATCTGAAGGATCTAAGACAGTAGCCGGACATTCCAGATGAACAATGTGGAATACATCATTTGCCGTATTTCCGGTTCCTGTTATGCGAATAAAAGTCACCGGTTGGAGGGGGAAGTTAATAGTCTGCCAAGAACGACAGAGAAGCTGTGTGGCGTCAAACACAACACTCCATTTCAAACGATCTTGCGAAACTTCCACAATGTAGCTGTAAGCTCTACTATCCAGATCCCATAGCAGAAACCTACATATGGATGTCAACAGACCAAAGTACATTGGCATACCTCATGGATGAAACCAAGAATGGTTGTGATAGTTGAACATCAATGGATCCATTACCAAGCTGATGACAAGTGAATCCGTAGTTCAGATTGTAAACAGAGAAGTCACCATCAATGAGTGAGTTTCTCAGTCTGCTGACTCCTTCCAACACTGTAGCTCCGTGGTGAATAGTTGTGACATTAGTTCTTGGAACCTATGTAAGCAAACGGAGTTAGTAATCAGCAACTAAACATACCAGAAGACCATTTTGAACTTTAAGCTTGGTTCGAGTGTAAAGGCATTGAAAGCTGATAATGTGAAAGTGCTTTCCAACTGAACTTCGAGTACCAACTATACGGATGTAACGGATAATACGAGTCGGGAAGTAGAGCAGTTGCCAGGACCGACAAGCGTAATTGCTGTAGTCAACAACTTTTTCCCAACAACCGTCTTCCAAGGATTGAGAAACCTCCACATAGTAGGCATAAGACCTGCAAAGAGAAGAACATTTCGTCGTGAAATATAATATTAAGGACTCATAAGGTGCAATAAATTATCTATTAAATCTACATTGAATGACTTATTGGCGAACTCAAATCTAAAACTATTTGCAAAGACCTAAACAAAACCGATTAAAAATAAATAAGTCTATTGTAAGCTGGTGAAAAATTGGAAGTAGGTTAAGCTAGTAGCCTTGCCTACAATTATGGAATCAAGCAAACCAACTAGATAAAACGTGGAAGAACAGTAGACATTGACCAGAACAAGAGGTGATCCCTTCTAATATTTGCACCCCTTTACCGCTTCTTGGTCCATCTCCCTCCATGCCTTCTCATTCAAAATCCCCTCGCCTCTAAGTCCTTCTCTAACAAAATGTATCGACTTCACGTATCCAACGATCTTTCAGTAGTTTGCCTAGTGCTATAGACACCAAAACCAAGGACAAAATATTAAAAGCCCTCCGATGTGCAGAAAGATAAGGAATTAGCAGACAAAGGGGAGTAAATGCAAAGATAGGGACAAAATAAAACGGAATCACTGTTATGTTTAAATTAGTCGCGGAAGGTCTCGCTAACGATGGAAATAATTCATTTGGGTATCGAACACTGACTATTGTGGGCAAAAGCCTACTCGAGAACCGAAGAGGCAGTTCATAAAATTCAAACACTAGGTCATGACTAAATGACTTACTCTCTTTTTGAGAATATGAACTACCCAACGATTCTATAATTCTATCGATGTAAGACTCATGATGCCCAGGTTTCAGCATATGCTTCTCATTGAACCTTCCCCACGTTTCATATCTTGTTAAACTCATTTGTTTTTCACATCACTAGCAAAAGCAAAAAGGACAGCACCTACTAACCTTTAAACCTAATTTGGCAAGCAACAGAATAGAGATGATATGAAAAATATACCTTGATTCTCGATCCCAGAGTTGCATTGAGATGAGATTGACAAAGGAGTTGTGGCCCAAATCGACAATTATAGACTCATCTCGTGCCCAAATGCGGTGGGAGACTACTGAGAGTTCTGATTCTGGAGGAGGTTCATGTGGAGTTCGACGAGATGAGATTGTGGAAGGCAGAGATCCTGTCTGTTGAGGCACAGTCGATGAAGAGACGCTGCCAAGCAACCAGCAGTTGAGGTGCATCAGTGCCCCAGTTGGGCCACTTTGAGCATCGCGATGCTGATAAGAGACGGGAAATCCGCCGTCGGGCTGTGGTACACCACTTGCTGACCAGCCTTGAAAAAGCAAAATGAGACTATTGTAAAACTCATGCACGTAGATAACCCAATAACCTCATTAGAGTCCATACAGAAGCAAAACACAGCACTCAAAGATGAAACCCAAAGAGAAAACCAATCAAAGGATATTAGTATAACTATTTGTTAGATAAGGACATATAATCAGACGCAATCATCAAGACGGAATGACAGCTTTTCACATAATTTTAGTGTTTTTTTCGTTCT